CCCCTCTTGGGGCCGTCTTGGGACCCTCCTGGCCCGTCTTGGGGCTGTCTTGGGGGTCTATTGGGCCGTCTAGCGGCGTTCTAGGAGGCCTCTTGGGGCGTCGTGGAGAGTCGGAAGCTCGAAAGCCGAGAATCCCAAAAACATCGAGCAAGCCCATAGTAAATCAATGGCTTTTGCCTCTTGGGGCCATCTGGGCAGCGAAAGGCGAGTCTTCTTGGGCCGTCTTGAAGCAATCTGGAGCTGCCCGGGTGCCCCGCGGGGCATCTCGCAGCCTTCTGGTATCACTGCGACGCCACTTAAGGCCGTCGTGGCGGCTCTTCTTGGGCCGTCTTGGGCCCCTCTTGGGGCCGTCTTGGGACCCTCTTGGGCCGTCTTGGGACCGTCTTGGGGACCTCTTGAGCCATCTTGGGCCGGTCTTCGAGGCCTTCTGGGACATCGTGGAGCGTCGGAAGCTCGAAAGTCGAGAATCCCAAAAACATCGAGCAAACCCATAGTAAATCAATGGCTTTTGCCTCTTGGGGCCCTCTGGGCAGCGAAAGTGGAGTCCTCTTGGGCCGTCTTGACGCTATCTGGGGCTGCCCGAAGCCCCGCGGTGCATCTCGCAGCCTTCTGGTGTCACTGTGACGCCACTTAAAGCCGTCTGGGCGGCTCTTCTTGGGCCGTCTTGGGCCCCTCTTGGGGCCGTCTTGGGACCCTCTTGGGCCGTCTTGGGGCATTCTTGGAGGTCTATTGGGCCGTCTTGGGCCGGTCTTCGAGGCCTCGTGGGACGTCGCGGAACGTCGGAAGCTCGAAAGTCCGAGAATCCCAAAAACATTAAAAACAAACTCGCAGCCTTCTGGTGTCATTGCGACGCCATTTGAGGCCGTCTGGGCGGCTCTCGGGCCGCTGGAGAGGGTACCCAGGGAGCCTGGAGCCCCCGTGGCGAGTCGAGGCAGCTCCCGGGCCCTGTACCCATATATATATATATATATATATATATATACACCCCGCAATTGCGGATAAGAGTGAGGGGGCGGGCGCGGGCGACGCGGGCGTCGTCAAGCCGGCGGACCTCGTGGCCCCCACCTTCCTTGTCGATGGCGCTCTCCTCCTCCTCCTCCTCCTCCTTCTCCTCCTTCTCCTCCTCCTCCTCCTCCTCCTCCGCCTCCTCTTCCGCCTCCTACTCCTCCTCCTCTTCCTCGTCCTCGTCCTCGTTCTCATCGTCATCGTCGTCCTCCTCCTCCACCTCGTCCTCCTCCTCCTCCTCCGCTTCTTCCTCGTCCTCCCTCTCCCCCCCTCGTCCTTCCATCATCGTCCTCCCATTGTCGTCATGTTCCTCCTCGTCGTCCTCCTCCTCTTCCCCCCCTCCCGATCCTCCACCCTCCTCCTTTTCGTCGTCGTCGTCGACGTCATCGTCGTCGTCCCCTCCCTCCTCCTCCTCCTCCTGCAAAAGCAGCCCGCCGCAGGCGCCGAAAAAATTGGTTTGTACACTGAACGTGGTTTGGGTCGCGGGTGGGCCGCGGGTTCTCCACCGGGAACGAATGCAAAAAATGCTCGCCGCAGGCGCCGAAAAATTGGTTTGTACCCTGAACGTGGTCGCGGGTGGGCCGCGGTCTCTCCACCTAGAACGATTCAAAAGATGCCCGCCGCAGGCGCCGAAAAATGTGGTTTGTACCCTGAACGTGGTTTGGGTCGCGGGTTGGTCGCGAGTTGATCGCGGGGTGGGTCGCGGGCTCTCCACCTGGAAGGAATGCAAAAAAAGCCCGCCGCAGGCGCCGAAAATGTTGGTTTGTACCTTGAACGTGGTTTGGGTCGAAGGTGGGTCGCGGGTGGGTCGCGGGGTGAGTCGCGGGTGGGTCGCGGGTGGGTCGCGGGTGGGTCGCGGGCGGGTCGCGGGGTGGGTCGCGGGGTGGGCCGCGGGCGGGTCGCGGGGTGGGTCGCGGGGTGGGTCGCGGGGTGGGCCGCGGGGTGGGTCGCGGGTGGGTCGCGGGTGGGTCGCAGGGTGGGTCGCAGGGTGGGTCGCGGGGTGGGTCGCGGGGTCGCGGGGTGGGTCGCGGGTGGGTCGCGGGTGGGTCGCGGGTGGGTCGCGGGTGGGTCGCGGGGTGGGTCGCGGGTGGGTCGCGGGGCGGGTTGCGGGTGGGACGACGACAACAAACAACAACAACAAACAACAACAACAACAACACGAATCCGCACCGCGGAATCTCACTTCAGCCACGCACCCAGGGACAATGAATGACCGTTCGGCCCCCTCACTCTGATATATATACATATATATATACATATATATACACACACATAGACATGCATATACAGATATACAAATATATTTATACAACTATATATATAGATATATACATATATATATATATGTATGTGAACATATGTATAGATGTTTATGTGTATGTATATGTGTATATTAATATGTGTGGATGCGTGTCCATGTGAAGAGAGCGAGAGAGAGAGAGATGTATGTGTATGTACGACACGGCGGCAAAAGTACGCAAGGGTACGACAGTGCAGAATAAGCCCTCGTCTTCATCTACACGTCTCAGAGTTAGTCCTCGCCACTGTGATCAGCAAAGATTAGGCCTCAAATGTTCAAATCATCAGCAGCAATCGACATCAAAAGGATGAGCTCTGAAAATATCGAAACGCACACCCTGCTAACCCGACGTTGTCCCAGCATGGGGAGAAAGACATGGCCCAAAACTGCAAACTCGACAGCGCAGATGTAAGAGCTTTATCTGAACCCAGCATCCGCATATGCCCCCATTCTGGCGCGTTTCGGCGCACTTCGAAACAACCACAGCACCATTGCCGCGTCAAGAATGATGATGAAAGACTCGGCAGCGAAGGCACGCCAGGGTACGACAGTGTAGAATAAGCTCTGTCCTTCATCTACTCCAGATTTCGTAATAAAGGGAGGGGGGTCTCATTTCGGGGGGGGTCTCTTCCAGGCTATCTTGAGGGCCTGGTGGGGTCTGGGGACGATGTTTTGGAGGGTTCTCCCACGGGGGAGGTCTGAAATGGCTTGTCTTGGAGGGTCCAGACCCCCTCCCTTTTATTACGAAATCTGGAGTACATGTCTCAGGCCAAGAGCGTTCCAAGATGACCCACGTTGGTCCCAAGACGGCCCAATAAGCGCCCAAGACGCTCGAGGAGGATACGGGAGAAACATTGATTTCGCTCGGGCTGCCGAACGCCCCGGACGGCCCAAGAGGCTCCGAGATCGCTCCAAAACGACAGAAAAGCCTCCAAGAGGGTCCCCAAATGGCCCAAGATGGCCCCAAGATGGCTCAAAAAGCCTCCAAGACGGCCCCAGGATGGCCCCGAGAAGGGGCCCAGAGGGGGAACCCGAGCAGACAGTTCGAACTCTCGGCCCCCCGAGGCCCCCAAGAGCCCCCCAAGAGGCCCTAACTTCCCCACAAGAGGCCCCAGAGGCTCCCCAGACGCACAACAGGCCCACAGGGAGCTCCAAGTGGCCCCCAAGAAGCCTCCAAGAGGCTCCCCAGAGGCCTCAAAAGTGCTCCTCAGAGGCTCCCGAGAGCACTCCGAAGAGACCCTAAGAATCATCCATGAGGACTCTGACCCACAACCCAGGTACGTCTCGGACTCGTCTAGAGCTCTTTTGAGCCATCTCGGCGCCCTCTGGGGCAGTCTATCGGCTCTCTTCGACAGGGTGCGAGCCACATCTCCAAAGATCTCCTCGAGGACAATCCTGCCTGCCCCACCGTTCCCATGTGGTGCGAACACACCGCCATGCAGTCACCGTGATGCGAAACGAGCCAGCGGAATGAGGGAAGCGATTAAATAAGCTCTGCCCTTCATCTACATGTCTCAGAATTGGTCCTCTTCTCTGCGATCAGCAAAGATTAGGCCTGAAATCTTCAAACCATCAAGAATGGTCCAAATATAAGCGCTACAGAATCAAAACGCACACCCCTGCTAACACGACCGTGTCGAGGCATGGAGGACCGTGCATGGCCAAAACTGCATGTCTGGTGCAGATGTGAAAAATCCCTAATACATCATCAGCAAGGGCCAAGATATATCTTGCCCTCCTCCTCCTTCTCCTCCTCCTCCTCCTCCTCCTCCTCCTCCTCCTCTTCCTCCACCTGCTCCTCCTCCTCCTCCTCCTGCTCCTCCTCCTCCTCCTCACACTCCGTCTACTGCCCTGCCCATCCCCCATGGAGGGACAAACATCTGCTTTCGGAGGCACGTGCGGATCTCTTGGCTCGGCGCTTCCACCTCCCTCCCTGGCGCGCGAAGCGCGTCAGGGGCGGCGCCGCGGGCGCCGCCAGGGGGGGCGCCCAGCGCCGATCCAAGAGATCCGCTCGGAGCGCTGCGGAATTGCGTCTACGAAAGGGCCCTGGGACACACAAA